CCAAGACATTTTCTTAGTTTTTGCTTTCTTTTTCAATATTAAAAAGAACTGCATTATAGCACTGCTATCTTTTTCTAGTGTAGTGACACTGCAGGTGGTTGTCACTTTACAGAAGTAAAATGACTTAGAATCTACGCGGCACAGTGAGTTCCAGTTACTTGAGATAATTTTAAAGGCTAATAAAGGCTTTATAGTGACACCACTAATTTTATGAATTTTATTAAAATCCTTTTTATTCCAAATCCTACATCTTCCCTGTGTTAGATGATAGTGCCCCCTCTTCTCCCTCCCCCATTGTTACCCAACTCCTAATTATGTGGAAGTTTTACACCCCCACCACCAACAGGTCACTTGTAAAATTAAGATTTACTTGTGTTCTCCAAGGGATGCTCTGAAGTTAAAAACAATCTCACAGCATATTTCTTGCCTATGCTACCAACAGTAAAATAAATTATTACAACTGAAAACATCTTTAAAAATATATAACATAACAGGTGTCAAGGCTTGTCCGCATTCTGGCACTCCGAGTGCAAAAGGTGGGGGTCTGCAAGAGATCTTAAATGCCTTGCCTCTATTTGGCTTCTGCTTACAAAAACTCCCCAAAGTCCTTGGCCTTGGGAGGTAGCTGCCACCACCAAGTGAGCCAAAAAAACCCACGATCCTTTTTTTTTCTTAGGCTTAGGAAAGAAGCACTTGAACTTCTTTTAGACGGGTATCCCCAAGCTCTTTTACCACAAGAGAGCTTGAAAAAGATAAACAGAAAACAAACTGCAGTCTCTAATAGCTGATGTCTTAGTCTTAGGCACATATACACAGACCCCTGCTACATTCCAGGACACAAGAATCAAATTGTCTCCTTAAAAAGATGATTTTATTAACAAAACAGAAATATATACTTGATAAAGCATATATGGTTGTTAGGTGTTACAGAGCAACTGAGAGAGAACAGATTAAAACACAGAAAAATAGTATATCTGGGTGTAGTTTAGATACGGTGCAGTTAATACAAGGAGTTAATACATGGAGTTAATACAAGAGAAGTTTAACCAAACAACACAACAAGGGAAAATAACCCGATCGCGTCTAAACATACAGTGATGATCCATACTGACCTGTACTTCTAGGTCCAGTTCATTTCCATGCTCAGTATTCCTTGTAGACATGGTAGTTCTGCCTGGTTCAATTCATCTTGCTTCCCCCTCCTCTTAGTTTAAAACTCACACAAAGGAAACAGCAGGTAGGTATATCTTTCAATTTAAATGTCAACATCTTCTGCCATTGTCTCTCCTGGCTCCCCACCAGCACCCACAAGCTACCTGAGTTTAACCCTTTAGTCACCAAATGCTGGTCAGCACTCCTCCTATCCATCACGCCTTGCAACATCTGTATTGATTTGCTTCACTAAGTTTGGACAGTAAAAAGACTATTTTTTTTTACATTTAAATGTGATAGCGCCTAAAAGCTACAATCAGGCTGGGTCTGTGTTAGACATTTCAAGAAACTACAAGACAATGTCAGTCTTTTAAAAATCATTAAGCCTATGAAATAACAAGCTTTATAGTGACACCACTAATTTTATGAATTTTATTAAAATCCTTTTTATTCCAAATCCTACATCTTCCCGGTGTTAGGTGATAGTGCCCCCTCTTCTCCCTCCCCCATTGTTACCCAACTCCTAATTATGTGGAAGTTTTACACCCCCACCACCAACAGGTCACTTGTAAAATTAAGATTTACTTGTGTTCTCCAAGGGATGCTTCTTTTAAAGGACAAGTAGAAGAAATGGAATTCTCCATGTACAAGATTCTATTTATGGAAAATAATATCAATCCTTGCTCAAGAAAGTCTATAAAATAAGACACCAGGTAATCAGAACCACTTGATGGTGTATAATTTCCCTTCAGGTACAGGTCTTAGTTGGTACTCGTGCTGAGAAGAGCTTTGTGGCAGTGTCATTACCTATACAACTGAGTATATGCCTCTCAAATTCTCACCCTTAGGGTATTCAATCATTTTAATGCTGCAGCAGGATTGGGGTCGGAAAGTCAAGTAGGAAATGCTTATGCCAGTGAGAGGCAGCCTAGGCTAGTGAATGGGCCCCATGAGTGGCCCTTCTTCATCTCAGTGGGCTGCAAGATTGTTGTAACCAAGATGGTCTCCCCAGATAGGGTAGTTTTGCTCACTGCTCTGGGCATACCTGAATTTGCAGGGTGTTCCGATTGAACAATAGCAGCACTTTGATTGGATGCAGAGGAAACACAGGGCTCTGACAGTCAATTTTGTGTGTAATCAACATGCACTTCACCGCACATGCCCTTTCTTTCAGTGTGTGGCATTTTAGTAACACTGGTAGGGGGGGAAAACTATGTGGATAAAAACCAGCAGAATCTGAAAACCCTGCACGTGGGCATCGGTAAACAAAATGTCTAGTGGGCCACACACAGAACCCCAATGGACCACAGGTTGCCCACTACTGACTTACGCAGTGAGTTCTGACTGGAGCCTACTATTGGTTGAGTACACAGTAATGAAAGGGTGTGAAGCTTATATGATCAGACTCTAGGTAAAGGTAAATTTTACCACCTCTATGGGTAGAATTATAGTAGGGAAAATATTTCATAGTTCTATTACCACTGTAAGAGAAATGCCATCATTAGGAGCCTCTTCAGCAACACTTTTGCAGGCTTTCTAAGCAAAAGCTGCACAAATGTCAAGAAGAGAATATTACAAGTAAAACAAGAAATCATCAGTGAAGGGACTTCCTTGGTATGTCCCTTTCCCTTTACAGTCTCACTGATCAGAGAATGAGATTGCCAGAGTAAGATGTGTGCACAAAATCTGTCTAGAGAAAATAGAGCATTTTAATTTTAAATGAAAGTTAATCTGTTTCAGGCTGTTTGTGTTTAATATCTGCCCTCACATTTAACGTTTGCCCTCACAGGCTTTTTTTGTTGTTGTTTTGTTTTTCTTTTAAAAGAAAGTTTCATAGTGTTAGGGTTAATTGTGACCAGATACTTACACAACATTATCAACAGTGTTAGTCACAAGCCAAAATAGAGAAAGAACAGGTTAAAAAAATGTAGATAAGTTAGAGGTATTCACGTTACAGAAATTTACGTAGCATACTCAAAAAAAAAAATAGCTGAAGCAATCTTTGAACTATTAGGGTACGTCTAGACTACAGGCTTCTGTCGACAAAGAGTGTCTAGACTACATTGAGTTCTGTTGACAAAGCAAGCTGCTTTGTCGACATGGTAGTGTGGACGCAAAGGACAGTTTACATGCAATAACACCTTCTGTCGACAGAAACTCTGTCAACAGAAGGCGTTATGCCTCGTAAAATGAGGTTTACCAGCGTCGACAAAACTGCTGAGTTCTGTCGACGTTATGTCGACAGAACTCAGTGGTAGTGTGGACGCAGGTATAGTTTTGTCGACAAAAGTCCACTTTTGTCGACAAAACCCTGTAGT